TGCTTCTCCGTTCCGCTTCGGGACGGGAATCCACTCCCGGTGTCTCGGTTCCTCGTGCCAGTGCAACCAGCGAAGACAGACAGTGCATGTCCAGTCGAAGACAGTCACGTGATACGGGTAAACAACGGAAACTAAAAAAAAAGAAAAAAAAAAAAGAAAGGGAAATGTTTACGGAAGTATCAAACAATTGGTCCAATGCTTGCCATCGAAGGCAAGGATGGTGGGGGAGGAGGAAGGTCGTCATGAGTAGAACAGGCGCTGGTTCTAGCTGGGGGGTCAGGTCCCGCCGCCGAGGTCGGTCTAGGAGGGCAGTTCATGGTACCGAGGAAAGGGAAGGGGAAAGGGAAGTGAAAGCTAGTGCGATAGCCCCAAGGATTACACTCGACAGTAAATATTGGGCGAAAGCATCAAAAAACGAACACGCAACTCATACATTCGCACACACCATCCCAGTTCAACCCTACATAACCACAACTCATTCGACGCGCGCAAACTCCCCTCACCCGCCTCCCTCCCCAACCGCACCTCCGGCCGCACCCACACCCCTCGCGAAAAACTCGCGAAACCCAACCAGCCACCTCCCATACGCCTCGGCCCCGACCGCGACATCGAACCCCAGCACCTCCAGCGCCGCCCGCTTGATCGCCGCCACCTGCCGCCCGCCCCCTCGCGCCCCCGTCACCGTCGCCCACGTCCGCATCGGCACCGTCGCATCGCACAGCTGCGCGTCGGCCAGCAGCAACCCCGCCAGGAACACCTTTGTCGGCGTCGAGAGCGGCGCGGGGAGGAGCGGTTGCTGGAGGAGGCGGCGGGCGAAGAGGAGCGCGAGGACGGTTGCGTGCCAGGGGAGCGGGAGGGAGGTGAGGGCGGTTGTGGTGAGGAGGTGCAGGTGCGCGGCGTGCCGCTGGGAGTAGGCGTCGAGGAAGTGCTTTTCGGTCGGGGACGGGGACGGGTAGGAGGTGGTCGAGGACGCGGCCGAGGCGCGGGAGGAGCTGGTGGTAGGGGATGGTGCGGGGGCAGTGGAGGCGTGCTGCGAGAGGGGGCGGGTGTGGTGGAACGAGGAGGAGGAAGCGGTGAGGGCTGTGTCGACCGGCTGCTGCTTGTGCTCCTGGGACTGCGGCGTGGAGAAGGCGCAGGGTTGAAGCGGGGTGCGGGGGTGCGACGAAGCCAAAGGAGACGTTGCCGAACCTCGACCGGCGGGCCTGGGTCGAGTCTGGTGCAACGGCCTCGCGTAGGGATGGTACCCGCCGTTCGCTCGCTGGTTAGATCGGGCTTCGTACCGCAGCGGCGTCTGCGCTGGCGTGCAAGGTTCGAGCCGGCCCAGCTCGTGAGGCGTGTGCGGCGGCGTCAGCGGGGTCTTCAGTGGGTCGTGCAGCCGCCGCCTGCACTGCGCGGGCTGCCGGTCCGCCTGCGCCCTGTCGTCTTCAAGTTCGTCTCCGGGCTCCGCGCAATGCTGGGCGGTCAGCTTCTTCCATCTCTCGACTACCATTCGCATGACGGTGAACGTGGCGAGGTCGGACAGCTGCTTTATTGTGGAGGGGGCCGGCTGCTGTGGTAGAGGCGACTGGTGCGGGCGGCGGCTTGAAGCCGTATCTGTCTTGGGCATGTCGACAGTCTGCTCCGCAGGGAACGGGTGATAGTGCGCTTGGAATAGGTGTTGGGGGAGGATGTGGTCGCGAAGGTGGGTGGAGTGTTGAAGCGCCATCGCTGTTTCTAGTAGCGTCGTTGGTGGTGGTGGTCGTGGAGGATTAGAATAAAGCGGTGGATGGTGGGTGGGTGGGGAGTCTTCGAGGGTGAGACGGACGTCAGTTGCGACTTCATGGAAATGAAATGGGCAAAAAAAAACGAGTTCGTCTTCGGGGTCGAAGACAGTCACGCACCGAACTCAGCCGAAGGACCGATTTATAATTTTTTTTTTTTTTTCGATGCTGCTCTGCTGATCCCCACGAATGAGAGAGAGAGAGAGAGACTGAGACAGCGGGAGGGAGTATATGGCTGGATTTAGCGCCAGAAGAAAGAAGAAGAAGAACGAAAATTATTTTATTTAATGAAGACGGATCGCACACGTTGTTGGCGGAGCCGAAAACATGTCTTCGGGCATGAATATGTTTCCAGCGACCGAGCCAGAAAGGTGGTTCGGATACTTTCGGACTCGGATCATCGTGTTGATCCAAAAGTATCGCTCTCTCGCTCTCTCACTTCTTAGTCACCACGCAGAGAGACACAGAGAAAGAGACAGTCAGAGAGAGAGAGTGAGAGAGTGAGAGAGTGAGAGAGAGAGAGAGCGAGAGATTTGGTTGATCGATATTAACATACATCAATCGATGAGCAGCGAGAACACCCCCATTGGAGTTCATTATCTTAGCAGTCAGAAAGAAGAGCTTCCAGAAGAGCTTCCAGAGAGGCCCGCCATCAGACGACGCGGTCACCATGTCCGCGAAACAAGATCGCCCAACGCAGTCGAAGGCACGAGTGAGACAGCCAACAACCCTTACTAGGCGTTGGAGGTGGTAAATAGCTGCGGGAATCAAAAAAGTCAGTGCTCCGCGCGCTACAAAACAGTGCGCTCCTGGGCGATTGGAATCTGCTTGGAACCGCTTTTTCTTTAAAGTCAGTAAAGTCAGTATTCACCATAACGGGGAATGTTAGGGAATGACACGAAGCGTATTGGTAAAGTACGAAATACCCACACACACACACACACACACACACACACATTCCCAGGCACTGCGCCAACGGCGGCGGCATTTTGAAAAAGGAGACAGACACTTTTTTTTGCGCGTACAAGGCTGAGCACTTGCTCGGATTTCAGAGGCACCGCCGGCCGACGGAACGGGAAGGACAGAAAGAGAGAAGGACAGAGGGTAAGAGAGCAGAAGGAGAGAAAGTCTCCGAAGGAGAGAAAGTCACTGCCAGAGCAGAGAGACAGGGATAGAATGAGCAATCCTTGGTTGGCCCCATGACGCCCCTCAACAAAAAAAAAGCACCAAACACCCATTTGTTGGCGGAAAACAATGCCGCACTCTCGCTTCCGCCATGGCCCCGCCGCGTCCGCCGCCAAAGTCCTCCTGCTCCTCGCCGTCGCGTGCCTCGCTGGCCTCGCAGTCAACCTCGTCGGCGCGGGCCAGGTCGACGTCGGCGGCGAGCGCTTGACAGTGAGAGAGGAGTTGGGGAGAGGGGAAGCCGAAAGGATTAATGAAGCCCCCCCAAACACAATTAGGTGAACACCGGCAAACTCATCGGTGAGGGCAAGTCCGCCTCCGTGTACGACGCTACGGACAGCAAGGGGAACCCTGCGGTGTACAAAGAGCTGCGCCCGAGGAAAAAGTGGAGGGACGAAGAGATCGCCGCGACAAAAGCCGGTTAGGGTGAAATCTGGCCCCCTGTCCCCACACCCCCTCCCCCCCCCCACTCCCCGTCGGTGATTTTCTCTCCTAACTGCTTTACTATCTGCAAAAAAAAAAACGACAGCCGGCCAATACATCTCGCACGATTTCAAGACCATGGCGCAAAAGAAAGTCGGCACACACGGGCTGAGCGAGTACCTCGACGAGAAGAAGAAGAACCCGGGCGGCTGGACGCCCAACAGCGCAGAGATCATTCGGCAGGTCGACAAGCACCAAGACAAGGTCAAGTGGGCGCACGGGGACGCGACGGCCGGGAACATCCGCGTCGATACGACGAGGACGACGAAATCGGTAAGCTTTTGCTTTGAGGTTGCTGGGTGAAGGGGTTTGACTTGTCTGCCTTCTGATAACTTTTGGGGCGGGAAAAAGGGCGCGCCAAAGTTTAAGCTGGTCGACTGGGGGTATGGTAAGTTTTGACGGTTTTGCACCGTAAACCGGGCAAAACACCTCTCCAAAACAAAACTCATGCTCTTCTCACCAAATAAACAGCCAGCAAGCAGAGCGAGACCAGCCCAACAACCCTCGCCCAGTTCCAGAAAACCAGCCACTCTAGCATCCGCGACGAGTGCCACCAGCGCGGGTTCCTGTTCCGCCCGAGAGACTCCTACCCCGGCGGCGGCGTCTATCGGCGCGCGCCCGGTGGAGCTTGCGCGGCCCGGCCGCCCGCCGCCGGTGGGAGCGGGAGGACGCAAAAGGAGCAGCCCACGGGAAAGGTGGCGGCTGGAGCGGGGACGAGACCAGGAGCGGAGCGCAACGGTCGCGGCGCGAAGACCGCTGTCCCGGCCGGCGGGTCGTCGTCGTCCAAAGCGGCCGGGGACACCAAAAAGCCGGTGCCCGCTGCAAGGCCGGCGACCGTGTCTTCCGCCAAGCAGACCAAATCCGACACGCCGGCGAAGAAGCCGGCCGCCGCTGTTGCCGCGGGGCCGTCGGCTGCGAAAATCGGTGTGGCCAGGAAAAAGTGATGGGATCTCTCTGTTCAATGTGTGGGTCGATTGTAAAGGTGGGGCCGGTGGGGCTGATGATGATGGTGAGAAGGATAATGAACTTCTTTGCAATTGATTTATCGTTAGTCCACGCTCAGTCCTCAACGGAAAAGCAAGATGTTCAGTCCAGAACTAATCTCCTATGCTCGTCCCACCAATTCAGGACCCCGCCGTTCCTGTATGAAAATGTGAAATTGCACGTGACGTCGCAACGGCTTCCACTTGCATGCCAACCACTGTGCAAACAGTCCAGACCTCTCCCACCACTGCAAGACCTCGACTTGGAAGGCTAGCCAAAAAGGCTTTGAAACCCAGTGGACCTCGAGACCGCTGTCCAACCACCATATTGCTGGCACTCAACCTGGCTTATGGCAGCGGTGATAAAGCCGATCTCCAGGAACTGGGGCACGCGTCTCCGAAGTCTATCCAGCTGCAAAGTCGCACAACCTGTTCGTTGATGGTGATGGCAGTTATTGCTTGCATATCAGATTCATATTGGAATTCCATCCACTGTCCTTCAACCACTGCAGACCAGAACAGCGCAACCCGTCTCGTTTGAAGTAACATCTAACCAGAGGCAAGTGAGGTAGTTAAAAAAGAAGAATGTTTTCGCCCCTACGACGATTTGAACGCCGATCTTCACCGAGATTTTTGAAAGTTCGTTGTGATGTCCTAGCCATTGGACGACAGGGGCTTGAAATGTAATGCGACCTCTTTTTTATAGGACTTTGCCGACTGCATTGCAAGAAAATCGAAAGGCTTGGCGCAGTCAACCATTGGCAAACTTATAAGACTTGAATGAACTTTTTTGTGCATAAATTCCTTCACCCGTTGGTCGTTATTTTTAGATGGACAACGTAAACCTTCAGATTTGATTTCCTAAGAAATCACTACTGTATTTCGCATCTTGTGCATCACCCATTATTTACTATGTCTCTCGTTACGTTCAGGTTTACCTCCATTCCTTTCAAATATTTTCCGGCGGGATTTTATTCATTTGAATTTGCCAGTAAAGTCGCAAAACCACGTCATCTCGTCAGTCGATCTTGACGACGACATTCAGTCTTCGTCTACTCTCACCAGCAGGCTCTGCTGCTCCTCGGGGATGAGTGCAACTGCCCCATCCGTCGCAGTCGTCCTTGTCGAGAGCGCCGCCGCACCGTCGCCGCGCACCTCGCGCCCTCGCCGCTTCTTGCGTTCGCGCAGCCAGGCAGAGAGTGTCCAACCACGAAAAACGGCGAGAACTGTCACGACGTTGCACGCCAGAAGCAGTACGCTGAGAAGGACGTAGACGACGACCACCGGAGCGATGCGGAGGCGGGATTGGAGGCCAAACTGCAGTAAGTCGTCTGCAGCGGTCGGGTCGGCCATGATGATGTATCGGGAGAACGAGGGGAGGTGGGTGGAGGCAAGCTCGCAAGTCCGACCTGGCACGGGGAAAGGAGGCCCTCGGCGCGTTGGGGCACAGTCACTGAGAGTTTTGTTCGTCGTGTAGTCTCGCAAAACAGCTCTTAATACACCGATATTGAAGAGACGAATGGGAGCGGTGAAGGGCGTGACAGTGTCAGAGCAAACCAATCAAGCTTTTTTTGGAAGGTTATCAACTTTTACTTACTTTACGGTGAGTTTGAAGTTCTTTGACGATGGGTGTGCTGACCAGCCTGAGATCAGCACTAAGGCCTTGTCCGTTGAGTTTGGCATCAATTCCAGCGAAGTCTGGTTTGTCATGGCCAGATCAGTCAAATTGAACTGCAAGTTGCCTTCAACGTCCCAGTAAGAAAGAATTATAGCCCTTGGTAGGTCAAAGGGAACTTCAAAATCAACGGTTATCTGCAGCAAGCAGGGGCACGACAGCCATTAGAAATGAGCGAAAGGTCAAACAACGGATAAAAACAAGCCATGTCACATACACATACCGTTTTGCCCTTCACCGTATAGAGTTCAAAATTGGACTGCTGGGCCGAGCCCGTTCTACCTGAGATCGAGAAGGAGCGTTCTTCATCCAACAAAGGCGGGACGCTGTCCACCCAGTGAGTCCTCATGCTTGTGGAGTGCACGTACACGGACTTGGCCCAAAACTTTGTCGGTCCGTGGACGACGCACTTGTGTCCAACGATGCAACTGTGCCAGGTCATTGGTGGACGGAACAGGCCATCTTGGACGAAGCGCGTGAAGAAAATCAGGATGGTGAGGCAAATCGCTGCGCCAAAGAGGCTGGCTGTGATGGATCGTAAAGTGTGCTATAGTTCAGCCCAGCAACAGGGATCAACGGTGCTCACAGCACTGGGAGTCGCTTACCGATGGTCCACGCAGCCTTTTCCTCAGAGAACCCCTTCTTCAATCTGTTCCTCTCCTCCTCGGCTTCCCTTTCCCAGTCCACAGGCTCGAGTTCCGAGAACGTGATGGGGATCGAAACGAACCTGTTGACGAACAGGTGCGCAGAGAAGCGAGACGGCGCGGCCGGGCTGGACGTCGGGGCGGACAAGACGAAGCGCCGCTGCCATCCAAAGACGGTGACGTACAAGGCGACTGCGGAAGGACGGGCGTCGCGGGAGTACCAGCTGGAGGACGCGCTCGGCGCGAGGCTCGGTGACCGGCCGCGTTCGCCGTCGCCGTCGCCGTCGTTGTCGTTGGCATGACTGATGCGGTCGTGAGTTGCCATCACCCCTTCCTCTCGATCTGGTTGACGATGCCCGACCACAAGGCGGGTAGATTGGCGGCCGTCGTCGTCGGCATCGGGGACATCGCCACCAAGCCGGTCGTTCTGCGGCATCGGAAAAAAAAATTTTTTTTTTCTTTCTTCTTACTGTAATGCTGTGCGTTTCACTGAAAATTGGAGGGCTTCTGTCCACAGGCTTTTCAGCGGCGAACTTGCCAGGGGAAGTGGGCAGGCCAACTGACTGGGCTGTGGGCTGGAAACATGAGCACTAGGCCGCAGCAATTGTGCGTATCATTCTCGGGTCGGAAAGTTTCCATTCCGTCTTCGTCCCCGGGCGGCAAAGAACCGGTTGAACACTCGAAATGTCAACTACAAAGTGCTTAGAAGCAGGACGCCCATGACGGCGGCCGACTTGGGGTGGTCCTGGTTGATTGGTCAGCTGGTGAGATAAGTCAATGAAAAGTGGTCTACCTTTCGAAAGCAATAACAGACACCACAAGAAAAAAACAAAACCATACGGTATCTTGGTTCATCCTTTCTTCCCGCCACCTCCCCTCCTGCTCCCCCTTCAATTTGCATGCAATAATCATTTCTTCTTTCCTCCAGACTTCGCTGCCGATACCCCCGTCGCGCCCTTGACCGACTTCGCCGTGTTGGAAGCGGTTGCAGCCTTGCTGACAACCTTTGCGCCCGTCGCCGGAGCCGCCGCCTGCCTCGCAGCCGCCGCCGGTTTCCCTGTCACCTTCGACGCTCCGCTTTCGCTCTTCGCCTGCTGCCGCGCGGCCTGCTTCGGCTTCGTCGAACAAGCCCCCGGCCCGCGCCGGTACAGTCCGCCCCGCGAACGAAACTCGAACCCGCGCGCCGCGCACTCCTTCTTAATGTCCTTGTGGCTGTAGTTCCGGTTGCTCTCGATCTCTCTCGGTGTCATCGTGCTGTGTGGTTCAGCTGCAATAACGTTGGCGGTTGGCCAAAGAGATTGTTGGTGTGGTGGGGGGTGGAATGGATGGTTATTTTCTCCGTTCGGCCGAAGCGCGCAGGAAAAATCTTACATAAACCCCAGTCGACTAGTCTGAACTTTGGTGCGCCCTGGTTTGTATAATGTTTGTTTTACTTTCAAGCGAGCGTAGGGGCGTGCGCGAAAACAAAAAAAAAAAAAAAATCGATCCAACCTGTTTATTCGTTTTTGTCGTATCGACGCGGATATTTTGGGTACCGGCGTCCGTGTGAGAAAACTTCATCTTGTTCTGCTGCTTGTCCACCTGCCGGATGATCTCGGCACTGTTGGGCTTCCACCCGCCGGGGTTCCTTTTCTTCTCGTCGAGGTAATCCTCCAGGTCGTGCGTGCCGACTTTCTTTTGGACCATCGACACCGAGTCGTGCGAAATGTACTGACCCGCTAGGGAAGCAGATGATTCGAGTTGTGGGATTTAGTTGCTGGCCAGTAAGCATAAAGAAGAATGGGAGGATAAAAAGGGGAGTCGACCCTCACCCGCTTTTGTCGCCTCGATCTCGTGGTCCTTCCATACCCGCTTCTGCCGAAGCTCTTTGTAAACGGCTGGTCTCCCCTTGCTGTCCTTGGCGTCGTACACGACACCGGACGTGCCCGCGCCGATTATCTTGCTAGGGTCAACCTTTTTTTTCATTCGTTAGAGTGGATTTGCAGGAAGGGACGCAAGGGGGGAGTTACGGGGGAAAAAACCGCAACCTCGTTGTTGCAGTAGAACTTTATCCTCTCATTCTCACCGTTACGTGCTCGCCTCCGACGTCAAACACCTCCTTGGCGCTCGCAACGTCGACGGCGGCCGCGGCGCACCGCGCGAGAGCGAGAGCTGCCAAGACGAGGACGGTGGCGAGAAGGTTACTCGGGGCGAAGCAGTGTCGCCGGGGCCGGGGGATGCGTCGGGAGGGGTGAGCGAGGCCGTCAGCGGTTGCGCGGACGGCTGAGCCAGCCGCTTGGCGGTTCCTTCTCTGCGGCATATTTTGTTTGATCAAGTGTCTCTTTCAATCCCGCTTTCTCTCTCGCTCTCTCTCTCTCTCTCTCTCTTTGTTTCCGCACCAAAAGGAACCTTGTCTTTGTAGCTGCTTCCTTTTCGGGTCAGTTGCTTCCGTGGCTCGTGTGCTCAGCCTGACACTGTCTTTGCGGACTTCCACCTGCTTCCAACACTGCCTCGGCTGGGTTCCACCGGTTACCTTGCTCGAACAACCGAATGCTTTGTGTCTCGCGCAAAAGTGCTCGCCTTCCCTCGCTTGACAAGAGATAGCCAAAAGAACAACATGTGGCAGGCGACGATAGAGACTTGACATTTCCGAGAACATCACACATATAATCTGACGAGCCATCGAGGGAGTTTCAACGAGATTTAATCCAGTAAATAACCAATCGATGTCGAATCTGGAGACAGGACCTGCATGATGCCGATTCCTCGGAAAGTAGAAACCTGATTTGAGGTTGGCCGCGGTTTGACCGTATCCTCAACTCTCGCCAGCTGAGTGTCCTTCCTTGCAGTGGTAGACATGGTTCCCTGAAGTTGAAATGTCCAATGGTTTTACTAGATATGTCGCTTGTAGAACACCAACGCGTGGCTCGGATTCGCACAGGTTGGGCAGACCTAGAAGGTCGCGACCATAAAACCGGTAGTCGAAGCAAGAGGAAGAGAGCTGCAGCCGTGTAATTTGGCCTCCCGTGCATGGGACTGAGCTTCGCAAGGAATTTGACCATGACGTATTTATCTTGGGTTGGGCTTCGGTGGGGTGTCATTGTTTCAGAGGCACCCATGTTTCCACGACCTGATGAAGAATAGTTATGTGCTAATCGCCCTAACCAGATAACGACACACAAAAGTGTTTTTATTGGACAAACATGTTGTATACTGATGCAGGTCCAAATATCACGATATTGTAAACACCGATTTGGAACCTCGATTTCGTTGCAGATCGCGCCACATAATGACAATGTCTGGGAGAGTAAGGGAGACGTTTTGAGAGTTTTGAAGGTTTTGCCCTCGAGGCTTTCACTGTGCGAGACTTGCAACGAG